TGTTTTCCCTCTGTCTGTTACTGGCCATCTATTCTTCTAAGTTTTCCACAGACGGCGCCAAATTGTGTGAGTGATTTTCTGACCACACTGGCCGCTTAGTAATCAGCTGGAAAAGCATTGGCAGAATAGATGGCCTCTAGCTAACCTGCAACAGAAAGAGAAGTCTCTGGTGGTGGTTCAACCACCCGGGGGCACTCCGACGATCAAGTCAGTATATCTCTCAAAGATAATCAATTATTCAACTTACAAGCTTGAGTATCAAAAGCATACCTTAGACCCACGGGGGTGCCTCTCTTTTATAGCCAACTCAATCCTGATCCCACTAGAAGCCTAACTTCTATGGACTCCCATTCAGTGCTTACTTTGGATTTCTCAAGAGATAAAGATAAACTCCCTAAGAGCTTTATCCTTATCTTAGCTAAGTCTCCTCTTTACTCTAGGACTCCTGTCCCCTATCTTTTATCCATTTATCTCAGATTCTGATATCTTCGGAGATAACCTTAGCCTTGCCGAGATAACCTCGGCGTCACAACCTGGACACGTGGCACCTCGGCTGACACGTCGGCGTCACCTTGCCACGTGTTGGTATTCAGAAAATACATCCCCACAGTAAGCAAATTGATACGTATGCAGCTCCCCTAATAAACCAGTTAATTGAGAGAGAGAATAGACAAATGCATGCTCTTTAATTATAATTCATAACTACACAAGTGAGTGTGTAAAAGGCCTATGAAACTGGGCAAAACTTTGTCAAGCCAAAATATTATTTTTGCCACTATACCCATTGGCAATATAAACTTAGTTTTTTGCTTAATGTTACCCCCAAGCCAAAATATTATTTCTGCCATTATATCCATTGGCAATATAAACTTAGATTTTTGCTTAATGTTGCCCCCAAGCCAAAATATTGGTTTTGCCACTAAACCCATTGGCAATCTAATTTAATTATGAGGCTAGGCTTGATTGTTCTAATGCTATGTCTTGAAACCATAATGTTGAAACAATAGTAGAAATATAAAATTAGAAAATATTGTTCTAATGCTATGTCCTGCGAAGACTAATATATTGAAACCATGATAGAAATATAAAATTAGAATAAACAGCACCATGAACAAAGAGACTATCATTATGTTTAGGGACCAAGTTTAAAACATTAACCAGCTTTTAGGAAGAGTTGTCTCAGTTTACGGGTGATGCTACATTCCCTCCTAGCAAAGGAACAATAAGGAGGATGTGCTCCTAGTAGTGCTTGATCTACCCACTTGGCATCTATTGGGTTACTAAGTGGAGTAAATGATCTTTGACAAAATCATAGAATCAAAAATTAACTCAATAGAAAGGATAACAAACTGAATGAATATTAAATTAAACTGAGTGAATATTATATTGTGTTGTGTCCTATACATGGCATGTTATGTTGTATGGTAGGATAACAAACTGAGTGAATATTTATGTACAAATTAAACAACATAGAAATTAAAGCTCTATTTCTTTCTATAAAAAAAGGTCTCGTCAAATGGTTCAAGTTCAACAATTTTCATCAATTTTCGCCAAATGGTTTAGCAATTAGAAACTAAGCTCTCCGTATCTCATAATGGTTCATCAATTTTCATCTGGCTCTAGCCCAGTTTTGTCAAATTGATTGTCTCTCACAATAAAATCTATAAATTATGTCCTACTTCAATTTAAAATATCAAATTTAGTAAATAATAATTTGAATATGAATACATAAAAATATCCAATTAAACTAATCAATTATCTAGTTAAACTAATTTGAATCTGAATAAATATACGTAAAAATATCAAATTTATGAAATGCCCCATCAACACCCTTGTTTTGTTATATAGAATTATTGAATTAGCAAAGACTTCAATGGAGAACTAATCAATTAACTTGGGCAATAAATATAAAATTACTAAACCATGTGGACAAAGGAGAACTACTCATCTTAAATTGATAACAGATTGTGAAACTTTCACGCAAGCAATAACAAATGCATCTATCTTTCATTGAAGACTCGGAACACTTTTCCTTTTTGAATCAAACACAAAAGTATCCGAAAAATATAGAATAAAAAATCAATTTGAACCTATGAAACCCAAGAAGAATAAGAGAAGGGGGGGGGGGAGACCAAACAAATTGCCCTTTTTTTCAAAGAGTAGTGAAATTTATTTGGATTTATGCTTGCAGCACTTGCCATTATCATTATTTTTTGCACTCACTACCTAATTATAAAGCACACAATAATTACACATCATCCAAAACATAATAAGAAAAGAAAAGAACATTAATTTTTTACAAAAATCCAATAGTACTCGTTTTGGAGGAAGAGAAGCATGACAATCAACACCCTTGATTTGTGCCCTGTTATGCAAAAGAAAAAATCAAATTTGCACGTGTTATGTTTCTGCCCTGTTATGCCATTTTGTGCCTTTTTTTTCTTTTTAATGATTCTTGAGCATGTGTTTGACACCAAACACCCCCAACATAGATTTATAATTAAAAATCAGATTTAACGCCATCAATAGATACAATAGCTCGGGAAAAAGAAAAGAAAAAAGAAAAAAAAAAAAACTCAAATATCATCAACAATATACTTCATAACAAAAAATTAAAATCCCTTCACTGAACAATAACCAAAAAACTCAAAATTAGTCATCAAAATAAAATATAAGAAAATGAATTATACCAGCAACAATGAATCTATAACAGATTGAAAGAAACTAACCGTGCTACTGCTATTTACAGTGATGCATCTAAAAGTAACAAATAATAGACACACAATACAACAAAAAATAAAAGCTAATAAAAAAAGTAGATATAGAGAAATACCTTAACACATATAGCGGAGATATAAAGGCATGGAGAGAGAAGACAATTGAGATGGTTTCTTTCCTTACAATGGTTACTCTTTTTATTAGGCAATAATTACAATAAACACAACAAAAACATAATAACCAAGCCAGTTATCAACAATACAAAAAATAATTATTATAAACTCAAGGATACATCAACAGGTCTATAACAATCTCCAAAATCCCAAATTGCAAGTTAGTTTTGTTAGGTTTTTTCTTGGCAATCCTGTTTGAACAAAACTTCTTTCAGTTGTAATTTTATTCGCTCTTGTATTTCAGTGAGGATATGAGTTTTAGTTGCGAATCCAACCCGAATTGTGCTTTACAGAGAAGTTTATGATGTTAATACTTTCAAGATTGCCACTTCGCTGATTATGACGAGGATCGAGCTGCCCGGTCAGCTCGCGGGGGTCGAGGGGGCAGCGCTCCTTGGCAGGTCCGGGGCAGCGCCCGAAGCAAAATGCAAAATTGCATTCGAAGTTACCTGTCCGCCCTTGCTCGCTTGAGCGAATGAGTTCTCATTCGAGCGAAGGCTGCGTCCGTATAAAAACCTGAAAGAGATGATTTCACGCACGAGCGTAGGTTATTTGGCTCGAGCGAAGCCACTTATGGAAAACACGCGTTTTTGGTTCCTCGCTTGAGTAAGAGAGTCTTCGCTCGAGCGAGCATCGCGATTCAGATTTCTATAAGTACGTGATTCAGTCAGATTTTAGGATTACTTCTCCAGATCTTCTTCTTGGATTCTAAGGTTTATATCCGGGGATATTTTGCTAGTTTTCTTTGATATTTTGATTGAATATTCAACTCATGATTTAAAGAGTATACATCAAAGGATTATTTGTTTGTTCTACATAAAAGAGAGAGTTGTTCTTTGGTGGATTCTGAAGAATTCGAGCTTGAAGCTTTGGTAGATTCTGGAGTGGCTCATCGTCAAGACAATTCCGAGGTGAAGACGGGGTTGGAAGAGGCACATAGGGGTTGGTTCAATTCGGGTGTAGATTTGCTAGGTAATTGAGAGTATACCTGTGTAATTCCTTTATATCTTCTTAGTGGATTGTTTTCTAGCTGTTGCCCGTGGTTTTTTTTATCACAATTGGAGGTGCTCCAATTGTGGTTTTTTCACGTAAAATCGTTGTGTCGATTTGTCTTGATTGTTTGATTGGGATTGTTATATACTGCTTAAAATTAATACAAGTCACAAATTAACATCTAGGGGATTTCTAGATTTTTCAAGTTTCACAATAGATCTAAAACAATATATATACACAATACTGATAATAAATGTATAAATAAATAAATAAATTAAAAACGCACAGGGCAAACGCATTATGTGGAACCATAACTCATAACCAAAACACAAAATTTCAATTAAATGGAACTCAATAAATTAGATCGTTACCTCCATAGGGCAGTGGGCTCTACAGTAGGCTGAGTCCAAAAGAGGAATAGTTGACCCTCATATCTAACTGAGGGAAGAAATGGAGTGTTTTGCTAGAAGAAAATCTGACCTGTTGAAATCTGAAATTTAAGAAAATCTGAAATTGACTGTTGTAATAGGTTGAAATCTGAAAATGAAGAAAATCTAAAATTGAAGAAAATCTGAAAATGAAGAAAATCTAAAATTGAAGAAAATATGAAAATCTGACCTATTGAAATCAGACTCATCTGATGTAATAGGTTGACTTGGTCGAAGACGACTCGCAAAGCCCACCATTTGATCGATGACGCTCGCTCGACTTTGAACGATTTAATGGAGTGGTCGGGGTTGCAATGGGCAAAACCAAGAATGAATAGGGGGTTGGGGTTGGGGTTGGGGTTGGGGTTGGGTATCTCGCATAGGATGGACTCCAATGGGGGGAGAGCGGGAAAAGAGACAGAGAACCAAAGTGTATTTGACTGAGAGAGAAAGGGAGAGAGAAAGAACGACATCAAACCTGAATTGTTTGAAATTTGAAATCTGAAAAGGCAGAGCCTAAGAGAAAAAAAAAAAATAGAAGGGAAGTGTGATCTCAGGCCTTGAAATATATGTGAAGAAGTGTTATCTCAGCCTTTAATTTGTATGCCATCTAGAACAAATGTCCCATCAACACCCTTGTTTTGTTATATAGATGCCATAGCCTTTTTTTTTTGTTGATAATTCAGGTGTCCCTATCCCTAACCCTCTGATTTTAAAGGAAGGGACTAATGCTGAGCGGTAAGTAGCCGGTGGGAAATGCCATAGCCCTTTCACTTTCACGAATTACGAATCACAACATTCATAAATTCTCTACGAGTCACAACTCCAATGGTATGAATGTCTCTCTCTCTCTCTCTCTCTCACACACACACACACACACACTTTCTTCATTTTCATCTTCATCCATGCTCTGTTTCTTTGATCTTTAATTTCATTTTCTGACTCGAAATTCGATTTTCTAAGTTGAATTTTCTCGACAAAGTCTCAGCCTTCGCAAGATTTGATTGACGATGAAACAGAAAGTTGTTGAGTGAAATTAGGTTAATTGTTTGATTGAGCAAAGAGAATAAACAGAGAGATGCGAAACGCGGACAACAACGCTCAAGATACGATAACCGCTGCTGCGACTGCGATCACATCAGCTGAGAATCGTGTGCCTCAAGCTTCGATTTAGGTAAACAATTTGATTCAAATTTTAATTATAATTTACGTTGCTTGTTGTGGTTGATGATTTAATTATCTCAATTGGATATATGAATCTCTCGAGTTTCGAATTCTAATTCTAAGCTCTGCATAATCTGAACCTTTAGGTTCAAGATCTGTTGATTATCTATGTTATGTTGATCGTTTCACATTGTTTGATATAGTTTTTGGAAATTATATTTGTTTAATGTTTTTTAATTGTTTTTTTCATTCAATGTTGTTTTTGGTTTATTCTATTTTGACTTCGAAAGTTGACTTGTGATTCTGAAATGTATATGGTTTTAGCTTGTTTTGGATCTGAAGTTGGAGTTCTTTGCATGTTGTTTCTTTCCATTCCTTTGCTAGCTAGAATGGTCTCTACTGAATTAAGTAGCTAACTGAATAGGGCAGCTATCAAAGAGCTTAGGAGAAAAAAGAGATAGATGTTACCTTTCTAGATGTAGCTTCCCTCACAATGAGTTGACTAAGGAACTTCTTCTTTGTGATAGCCTTTAGTAAGTAGTAGAGTGAGGCCTCCACTCGGGATTACTGAAGGGACTTGTTAATACATGGAAGATTGAAGCTTTTTAGTGATTTTGTTATAGTTTTTCATGATATAATGTACCAATTTGATGAAATTCCAAATTTCTATATGAAAAAAATTGTTAATTTTTATGGTATAAATTTGTAACATATTACCATGACAAACATTGCTGTTCATGACATAAGTGTCTGATAAGCTCCAATGTTTGATTGTTTCTAGCTTATCCTTTTGGTGTTATATCTTTGGCTAGTGTGTTAGTGTTACTTAGAATTTATTATGTTGTTAAATTTAAAATTCAGTTGCCTTTGCCTATTTAATATGCTGTGAATGATTTGCAAGAGGAATGGATTTCAGTTAGAGTGACAAAGATGGGCTCAACGGTTTCTTTGTCAAGAACTACCTAGACTTTTGCAGCTAACTTGCTATTATGTTAATTTTTGTGTGTTTGGCACTTTTGTAAAGAGTATCATTAGTTATTACTATGTTGTTGCCATTGTTCAGATGGATTAGATGTTTGCTATGTAATATGTTATTATTATGATGCCTTGACACTTCCCCGAAAACATATAAATTGATAATGAAGTTCTCTTTCAACATTTGTCCATCTCGAGTATTGCTGAAAGGACTACAGAGGAACCAAATTGTGAACGTGCCAAACCACAGATTTGCTTGAAGCAGGTATTATTGAGTAACCACCAATATTAGCCTAAACCAGTTTTGATCTCTCAAGAATACAAAGCCCTGTTATTCACTTGTTGGAGAATATGATTGCATTACACCCAACCCCATCATTGCCAATCATTTTTTTTTTCCCTTGTATGAAAATTCTCATGGTAAAAGGCTTGACAGTGGAACATTATTTCTAGCGTAAAAGTTTCTATTATATTGAATTTGATCTTATTTCAAAATTTCAACAAATTAGGCTTTCTTTTATTTTTAATTTGAATAATTCTTAATGAAACATTGTATGTTTATCTCAGTGAATTTTGTAAATAAACACTCTGAATTTTGATCCAAAAGGCCAATGAAAATACAAGACATCTCATATTTCAAAGCTTGTGGATTAATGAAGAAACCAGTCTTAGATTATTTGACTCGAGGAAAAGAGAGGCCCTAGCTTGTAGAATGAAGTTACTTCTTGGAGTTTCATTTGTGTGTTTCATGTCATTCTCGACATCACCTTGTTACTATGCACTTGTTCATGTTTCCATATAATACTGAGCAAAACAAAAAAGAAAATATTGATGACTTTGCCCACGGAAACATACCATTATAATATGTTTTCATGTGAGTTTGTCATGTTACTTGCAGATGTGTTCCTTTTTTAATATTTATGCAAAATGATTTAGGAAAAGGATCCTTGGAACCAGACTCTCACCCTCTTTTTTTTTTGCTACAAAAAGAATTTGTTTATTTTTTGTTTGCTCCTTTTGAACATTTTTTTTAAAGATGGATAAAAAATCACGTCCCTTCATTTGAAATCTGTAAGGGGGAGTTTGACACTAATATTAAAGAGCAATGAACTGAGGCTTACCTGTTTTTTAACAGACTCTCAATTGAGATGAGAAGAGCTTTAAATGAAGAAATGAGCCATATATGTCAAAGGTCTATCTTCTTGTCCATCACAAAACTTTTTGTTTGTTTATGACTATATGAAAGAAATTAAATTCTAAATTTTGTTTGTTTATGACTATAAGTATGAAAGAAATTAAATTGTATCTTCTTGTCCAGTAGATACAATGGTCCTCCTGATTGTCACCTTAAAACTGTTAAAACTGAATGGGTAAGAAAATCTATATTTCTATCAAATTAGGCATCTGATGTGATTTGGAGCTGACAAACTACCTTGCTATCAAATTGGGCATGAGTTCTTAGGCATTATTAGCGAACATTTGATCTTTGTACTTAAAATGCATTAGTTATTGTGTGTTTGACACTTTTGTAAAGATTATCATCAGTTATTACTATGTTGTTGTCATTGTTCAGATGGGTTAGATATTTGCCATATAATCTGGTGATGACGATGATAATAATATATATATATATATATATATTTTGGGATCAAGGTGGTGATGATGATGTTCACCTATGGCATCCTCAGCCTTCGTATGTTTGGGGGAAATCAAGTGATTACTTCCTACGTCTTAGATCTCATAGAGTAACCATGTTGTAACAATCAAATGGCTCCTTGATTGTTTGACATAACAAAAGTTCTGATTTGAGTTTTGTTGGTGATCTTTCAGCATTTGGTATCATATGGAACTCCACTTTCAGTCCAAGCTCTCTATCCTCATGGAGGTCTTTATGGTCCTTCTAACATGACTTTGGTAATTGTAGTCTTGCAATAAATTTTGTTTTAATTTTGATGGGTTCGTTTTGTATAATTTTTGTTTTGATTTTGCCTTAAGATTCTGAGAGGGTAATTTATATACGAAATTGGGCCGAGCTGGGCCTTTATGGGCCTCAGTACGAAGGGTTGAGTAAAGAGGCCATAAAGTTACTCCGGTCTTGAAGAGGCTTAAAGTTAGCCCGATCTCAAGCCCAGAAGGTAGACCGGTCCGAGTTACTCTTGATGTTTGTCCGGTTGAAGGACCCTTTGTAGTTAGACCGGTTTAAAGATGCGTTGAACTTATATCGGTTAAGGCACAGTATGGTTAGTTCGGTCTAAAAGCCTTGCTAGAAGTTAGATCGGTTTAGACTTAACACTGTTGACAATGGAGGAACTGGGGTAAGAACACTGAAGGTAGAACCGAACTAACGATAGTTCGGTCTACTCTGTGGCTCGGCATAATCATGCTTACTTCGGTCATATTGGAGTTCGGCCATGGTAATAACCATCTCACTTGGTTTAAGCAGTGAGGGGGGTGTTGAAGGATAAGCATTATGTTTCAGGAGTATGAATCCTAGGAGGACTCTGCATGGAGGAGTAGAAGTCCTACTAGGATTGTGCCACGCAAAACCTATAAAAGCTCACAAACATCACCTTTGGAGAGGTAACACAACTTTGTTCTCTGAATTCACAGAGCTTTTGTCTATATGTCAAGCTTACTGACTTAGGCATCGGAGAGGTTTCTGGCACACACCCGCCGGCTAGCTCACGTTTATGTTTTCAAGTGATAAAGCGACGACATATGGAGGAGCGCAGACTTGATCAACAGGATTATACGAGAAGGTTTATTTCTTTCCCGTACAATTGGCGCCGTCTGTGGGAATTCAGACAAGAACAAAACCTCTTGATCAAGCTTTACCTCTTTAGGAACAATGGCGCACAATGAAGATTTACCACAGTCCGCCATCGACGGGCAAACACCAGATGGGGGTGCAAGGTGTGAAGGACTACCTTCTATCCCTCCCATGGCGGACTTGGAGCCCCAACGACATAACCCCAGGAGGGATACTAGGGGGAGGCGGACTAACAGCCCCCGTCACTCTCATTCACAAAGTCCTGACAGGCAAAGGCGGAGGATTGATCCTCAAGTTCTGGAGGACCGTGTGAAGGAGAAAGACGAATTAATAAGGAAGATGGCGGCGGACATGGAGACCTTGAAGTGCCAGATGAAGGGAAAATGAGTGGCGACAGGAGAGGGGTGCAAAAACAAGACGCCCCCTCGCCGCTCAGAAGACCATGGAAGGCATTCCACACCATCACATGCAGAGAGTAAAAGCCTCAGGACAGGCGATACTCAGTCTAGAACCCCCAGAACTCGTTACTTCAGGTCTGAGAGAACGTGATCATTGAAGTCTTACATAGAGGGAAGTACCTACCGACCCTCACACTCGCACCAAACCTCATCCAAACAGACGGAGTTGCCAAGATCATCCGATTTGCGGATCATGCTGGAAGAAAAGGCACGATGGAAGGAGGACACCAGGGCGCGTGACCCTCGCAGAGTTTCTGCCCTTCAACGATTGGCTCCTCGATCGCATGGAAGCGTCGAGGTTGGAACGCCACTACCTCGCCGTGCCTACGAACCGACAGACAAAGCATTAGCAAGGCCGCAGACCTCGCCGTTCGTTCCGGCAATTGAAAACGCGCCCCTACCTACAGGCTTCCTTCAGCCCAAATTCACTACGTACGAGGGGAAGGCGGACCCCTACATTCACCTAAGCCACTTCCGCCAGGTTATGGCGGTATATCGGTGAAACGAGGCTCTAATGTGCATCCTCTTCCCGTCAAGATCTAAGCTTGACTTGGTTTGAAAAACTTCCAGAAGGCAACATAGCCTCCTGGGCGCAATTGGCAGAGGCGTTTGTCACAAGGTTCAGAACAAACACCAAAACCCCGGTGGAGATTGACCAGCTACTCTCCATCGACATGGATGAAAAGGAGACATTAAGGTCCTACAATAGTTGCTACTGGGAGACATTCAACCAGATTGGGGACTGTCCCACTAATCTCGCCATTGCACAATACAAAAGAGGCCTACCAGTCGGGAATAGACTAAGGGACTCAATCACCATGACACCGCCTCTCACCATGGAAGCCCTAATGGAAAGAGTGCATCAGCACATCAGGGTGGAGGAGGATGGCGCACGTACCAAAGCAAAATCTGGCGCGACCACAGCACTAGAAAAGAAGACCTCAGCAAAGGTCAACGCAGTAGATCGTCCGAACAGAAACGGACGTGGCAAACGAGACAATGGAGAAGACTAGGATAAAAGATGGTTAAGGGTCTGCGCGGCCAAAACCACGGTATTCAAGAAACCGATCTACCGAATTCTAAGTGAAATACGGGATGAGCCTTTCGTCAGATGGCCAGCTAAGCTTGGGGAAACTCAGAAGGACTATGACCAAAGATCACGGTGCACCTTCCACAAAGAAAAGGGGCACCGCACTGAAAATTGCACGCCATTGAGACAGCACCTGGAGGAGTTGGTGGCAGCAGGTCACCTGGATAAATACATTGAGGGAGGGGCCCAACCAGCCCCCCAGGACCATAATAACCCCAACGGGATGCCAGTCGACGCCCCACCTCAAGGCATTATCAATGTGATACATGGAGTCTTTGAACCTGAGCGTGTATGCGAACTCAGGGGATCAATCAAAAAGGCTGAACACTTAAGAGAGGTGCTAAGTGCCCAACCTGCCATCAAGAAGGGGAAGACAGAGGCCGCAAACGTCATGTCTTTTTCGGATAAAGACTTGGAACGGATATATTGCCCTCACAATGATGCCCTAGTCGTCATTCTCCGAGTCAAGGATTTTGACGTCAAGCAGATTCTGATTGACCAGGGTAGTTCATGTGAAATCATGTACTACGAAACATTTAAACAATTGAAGCTGCAAGACAAAGACTTGGCGCCTGCCGTATCTCCCCTAATTGGATTCAACTCCATGCCAGAATGGCCCGTCGGCAAAATAATTCTTCCAGTCAGAGCAGGAAGAGTGACAAAACAAGTGGAGTTCTGGGTATTGAAGGTCTCCTCCACTTACAACATCATCTTGGGCAGAACATGGCTGCATGCCATGCTATCAGTGGCGTCATCCTACCACCAAGTAATGCGTTTCCCCAACGAAGCCGGTGTAATTGAAGAGGTCTTTGGAGACCAAATTATGTCTAAGCAGTGCTTCGTCACGGTCAATGGTAGCCGCGCTGCCAAGGGATATGTTCATTCGATGGAAGAACCTGAGAGTGATGAACTATTCGCAGATGTCGGCAGAATAGCAGATCAAAAAGCGGTGGAAGAATTGGTAGAAGTAAGAATAGGTGAAAAGAACCCAGATAAGTTCTTTTTGCTCGGTTCGTCGTTGTCCAGCACTGAGAGATTAGAGGTCTTGGAATTCTTAACCTCTAACATCGAAGTGTTCGCCTGGACACCCTACGACATGCCAGGCATTGATCCAAACTTCATCTGTCACCAACTCAATGTCCACCCATCCGCCAGACCAGTCATTCAGCGCACTCGCAAATCAGCACTCCACCACGCTGAGATAGTGGCGGATGAAGTAGGAAACCTACTGGAGGCAGGAGCAATCAGAGAAGTACACTATCCAAGATGGATCTCCAACACAGTCGTGGTGCCAAAAAAGAATGGCAAGTGGTGTGTCTGTGTCGACTACAAAACAGTTAACAAGGCATGTCTGAAAGACAGCTTTCCTCTACCACAGATAGATCAACTGGTCGACCTAACGGCGGGGCACAACCGACTTAGCTTTCTGGATGCATACAGAGGCTACCATCAAATCGCCATGTATGAACCAGACCAGGAGGTCACATCCTTTACAACTCCAAGAGGACTATACTGCTACAAGGTCATGCCCTTTGGCCTAAAGAACGCAGGGGCAACATTCCAACAGATGGTCACCAAAATGTTTGAACCGTTGTTAGGCAGAACAATGGAAGCTTACATCGACGACATGGTGGTCAAGAGTAAGGATGAGAATGACCATCTCAAGGACCTAGACGATATGTTTGAGATCCTGAAGACGCACAAGTTGTGCCTCAATGCGTCCAAGTGTGCATTCAGAGTAGGATCTGGCAAATTCCTGGCATTCCTTGTGACCAACTGGGGTATAGAAGCAGACCCCTCTCAGATCAAAGCAATCCAGGATTTGGAGAGACCAAACTCCGTAAAAGAAGTGCAGCATCTCACCAGCATGGCAGCTGCGCTCAATCGGTTCATAAGCCGGTCATCGGATAGACTACGACCATTCTTCCATGCATTAAAAGCCAAGTTTGAATGGGACGAAGAATGCAACCAAGCTCTGGAAAGCTTGAAAGAATACATGTCTTCTCCACCATTGCTGGTCACTCCAATACCTGGAGAAGAACTCTTCCTGCACCTGGCAATCTCTCAGCACGCAATTAGCGCAGTGTTGGTCCGTGCGGAAGGAATTCAACGTTTGCCCATCTATTATGTCAGCAAGACATTGCTGGGAGCTGAAACAAGGTATTTGCCACTGGAAAAACTGGCATTGGCCTTGATGATGGCCTCAAGGAAGTTGTCGCACTACTTTCACGCCCACACCATAGTCGTCCTCACAGCTTTCCCATTAAAAGCTTTATTTGAGAAGGCAAACTTTTCTGGATGAATCTTAAAATGGGCAGTAGAGTTGGGACAATTCGACATCAAGTTCCAACCCAGGGCCGCGATAAAGGCCCAAGCTTTGGCAGACTTTGTCGTAGAATTCACCCCAGGAAGTCATCATATCTGCCCAGTCGACCTAACTGATACAACCAAACCAGGAATAGAAATTGATGCTGGAATAGCACAACCCCTGGTGCAGGATATTCAATCAGATCCCATGGCAGACCAGACTAAAGATAGCAAGGAAGAAGCAAACCAAGCTACACCGAACCAAGACTCACCAACAAATAAAGACTTA